AAAAAAAAAAAAAATAAAAAAAGACAGTGATGAAACAATTAATTGAAGATGCTAAATAGAAAATAACCATTTTTAAAATGATAGTTATTATTATACTTATTTTTATACTAAAAAAAAATGTCTTGCTTCGAATATCATACTTTGAAAAGAAATATGACATTTGAAATTATAAATATCTATATTTTTATTTATCAAATATGGGGTGCCTAATTTCATACTTTTAATGAAATTGTAAATATATATTTTTATTTATAAAATTATGGGGTATTAACTTAACTGGCCAAGTCAACTTCATATAATATGATTTGTATATTTCCACCTCATGATGAACGTGTAATGGCCCAACAAATAAAAGTTTGTTGGACAATCTACCAATTTTACAAACCAAACAAATTGACTGTATGAGTTGGTCAATTTAAGGGTAATGTGGAAACTAACCCTACTTAATTTTAGTCTAGTCATAAACTCTTAACAAAGACGCCATAATTGAAAAAAAAAAAAGAAATCAATTTTTTATATAATTTTTAGAGTTCGACTCGTTAAGTTCAAGATCGTCTCGTTAAGGATAACGAGCCAAGCTCGAGCTCAAATTTTGACTCGTTTATTTAATGATCAGAGCTCGGTTCGTTAAGAGCTCAAGTTCAAGCACCTTAAACTCGAGTTCGGCTCGACTCATTTACAGCTGTACGGTACGTCAGCATATCGTGCTTGCTAGATCACTCAAGAGTCAAGACACCTAATAATGTCAACTCCCCCTAAAATATCAAAATACATCATCTATTATTTTTTTAAGATATACAGCCGTATTCGTAGCACAATTAATTCGGAATAATTGTATTGCACTATTGCTTAATAGTGTTAAATGAAAGCGTGGGTTCATATAAACTAAGCTACAGTACTATTGGTTACATAATGATTTAACGGTTACAAATTCCGACGGAGTAATTCCGTAACGGATCGTAGCATCTTCGTGTAATTTATTCTTAGATTAATAGAGATCTAACAGTCACAGAGTTGTACTAATCATACACTACACGTCTTTGTTGAAGTTGGAAATTAGTTAATTAGCCGACTCCGCCTAATTATTACGGAGATATATTATTTAAAATATATATATATATATATATATTTTTTGTATTAGAAAATATCATATTTAAAAAAAAAAAACAAATATAAGAAGAAATATGCATTTATAGTTGGACCGAATAACAACTAGATCGACCGACAAAAAAAAAAATGAAAAAAAAAACTAAAATAAAAATCATGATAATTATAAAAAGCACGGAAAATAATTATTCCTAGAATTCAGAATTTTTTTTTTTTTCTTGTTTCATTCTAATGTCATTTTGAAAATCAAGAAGAATTAATTATAATTATGAGCCAAATATATTCACACTGAAACTAAAATCAATAACGAATATTTAGGACATTCAAAATATTTACTCACACAATAATTAATATTTTCTAATGTGTACAAAACACGAGAGGGGAAAAAAAAAAGGTCAGGGAGAATACATTGCAATATGCATAAAAATATTCAATTTTATTGTGAGATAATAATTTAAACAATATTATATATACATCCACACATGACAAAATATTTTCTACAAATTTGGTCCCAATCAATAATAATCATCTGAAATCTCCACTAAACTAGGACCTCATAAATGTTAAAAAATAAAAATAATAACTAATAAAACCAAAAAAAAATAAAAATAAAAAAATAAAAAAAATAAAAAAAAAAAATAAATGGCTGGTGAAAAGTTAAGAGTAATAAATTAAAGAGAAATGCTGCATGTGTACCTTGCAAGATGGGTCTTTCTTCTCCAGAGTGGCTCTCAGAAGGTCAACCCTTCTTTTCTCTTCAACATTATTATTCTTTTCATCTTTTTCTTTAACTGTATTTTCTGGAGAATAAAAGATGTCTTCACCTTCTTCCATGATCATCAATGAACAATCTTTTGGTTTGAGCAAAAACAAGGAAGATGCCCTCTTTTGTTGCTATTTGTACAAGAATGAATTAATATATAGCTAGGACACTAATAATTAATGAGTCTTTCTTTTTTTTTTTTGGTTGAAGAAGTCTAGCTAGTTGTGGTTAGCAAACTGATATTGACAATAATCGTCGTGGATAGTTGATCTAACGGTTACAACTTCTAATAAAGTGATTCTGTAACGGGACCGTAGCATTTCTCAAAAGCAAGCAAGATAGTAGTATTGTAGAAGGAGTAATTAAGGTAGGTGGACAACATTTATGGGCTGGCCAATTTTGATCGCGTGCGATATATATGGTGCGAGACTTTTTGCAAGTCACCCAAAATATTAATCTTTTATGATGAAAAAATATCTATTTGTTGATAGATCATTTATTTTCTCGTGACTATTTATATCAAAATTAATGATTCAGCAAAGTGTGCAATTTTCAAGCTCATGATTCCTTTTAGAATTGATGAAACAATTGTTATTGTTATATATGTTTCATCTGCTAATTTTCATTATTCAATTATGAACAACTCCAACAACTGCGGGTAAAATTTAAATGAGTAGTATAGTCTACAAAAAAATATGTTAGACTGTCAACTTCATTCTCTCTCAACTCTTACCTACTTAAATGTTATAGTTCATAGGCATGATAATAGCACTTAGACAGTTAATTCATTGAGACGACATTGTTGACAGTCTTTTCTCCTATTCAACCTCCACCGGGGAAACGGACATCATCATTTCGAAAATAAATCATCAACTTAAAAGGCATATGCCCGATATTCAGGAGATTTGATTCGCTCTGCGAAACACAAATCCATCATCGTCGTTTCGATTTCGCTCGGCGTTAACTTTAAGTTCGTTTCTTTTATTTTTGTTTAAGTAGTAAAAAAAAAAAAAAATAGAAC